GTCAGACCATCAATCCTCACTGGAGCAGGAAAGTGGATTTAACCAGTGGAAAACACCTTAAAGGATTAGTATTCATGAAAATGCTAACAATCATCGGGAGTGCTTCACACAATGGAAAGAAATGGAAAGAAATTTAGTTGAAAACAAAGTAGTTATTGACATGGAATTCAGTGTTAGATTGAGAAGGAAAAGCAGAGGTTACGTGATATCATGACGAGACTCCTTCACTGCAAAAAATTTCTTGTGACTCAGAACCTGGCTTTGTGAGGACACTGGGAGTCATTTCAACTGGACGGTAACTCTAATGTGGGAAATTTCCTTAGCTTACTGAAACTACTGACCATCTTTGACTCTGTCATGAAAGAACACCTCACTCGTGTGGAAATTAATCCTGGATCCACGTCTTATCTTTCATTGGGTGTCCAGAACGAATTCATCCACATGATGACATCCACTGTTCGCGAGAGTTGACTGAAAAGCATTCGTAAAGTCAAGTACTATGGTTTCATGTTCGACTCGATTCCTGATCAGGCACACAGTGAGAAGATGTCAGAAGTAGTGAGGTACATGGAATTTGAATTTAAAAGGAAAACAGTCCGTGTTAGAGTCCTTCCTTGGTTTTATCCAGATTAGCCAGAAAGATGCTGAGAACCTTGTTGAAGACATCCTGAAACAGCTAGAGGACGAAATGGAGCTACAAGATTATCGACAACGCTGTCGTGATGGCTGGACACAGAAGTGGTAATCAAAACTAAATGGTTATAACTGACCATAATTTTTAAAGGGGTGGACCGGTAAGCCAGCAGAAGGCCTCGGTCAGATGGCCACAAGCTCCAACGGAGGGTCATCATCTGACTAAGACCAGCGTCAAAACACTTGTCCAGTTACCTGACGAACCTTACCTAACCTAACAGATGTGGTGTGCATGAAAGTGAGAAAAACAACCTGGCAGCGTTTGTGAATTGCGACAATCACTCGCTCAACTTGGTGGGTGTACATGCAGCCAAGCAGGATACAATGATGGTCACGTTTTTTAGAAACATCGAAGCTCCCTACGTGTGAAATCCTCTTCCAATTAACTTCAGATGTTAAATACCGATATTTAACTGAATTAGAAATTTATGCCTTATTCTGTATTATTCCTTGTGGCCCAGCCTCTTATATGGTATAGTATCAAACGTCCTTTTGTAATCTTAAAAACTGCAATCCACTCACCCCTCTTTCTCTCTCTTGTCGCACAGAACTCTTGAAAGACATGATTTGCTATCCTTAAACTAATGCTAGTTATTGTTTATGAAACCACTGCTCTCCAAGTGTTCTACTACTCTTTCCCTGATAAGTTTCTTTATTACCTTGCAAGGTATGTATGTCAGTAAAGCTGGTCTGTAGTTTAACGCCTTCTTAAATATAGAGACCACATTAGCTGTCTTTCAGATCTCTGAAAACTGTCCTATATTCATTAGCTTATTGTTGATCATAGCTAGTGGTTTAGACATTGCTTCTGCACTCTCTCGCAGAATCCATGGTAACACGTTGTCAGGTCCCACTGATGTATCCAGGTATATCAAGTTTCTTTGTCTCCCCCTATTGTGTGGATGGCATCCAGTACTTGTCGGTGTCACCTGTTCCTCAGTCTCTGGTATTGCCCCATTTCCCCAGAGAAGACCTCTTTAAATCGTTTTTTCAACATTTCACATGTTAAGTAAAAGGACACAAGTGCAACTAATGTGACATTTTATTGTGGCAACGTTTCGCTCTCCAGGAGCTTTGTCAAGCCGTTGCCACAATAAAATGTCACATTAGATGCACTTGTGTCCTTTTACTTAACATATTGTCGGTAATTCTACCAACATTAATACAACATTTCACATATTTCCTTCTCACTGTTTGTGAGCTCTCCTCCTTCCTTCCTCAGTTGAATTACCTGGACATTTACTGTCGTCTTTTAATGCATTGTGAAGTAGTTCCGGCTCAGACTTGGCCTTTGCTGCTACGTTATTCTGAAATTGTATCTCGTCCTCTCTCACCATGGCATATTCGTTTTTAACCAGTCTGCTCACTTCTCTGTTATCGCCACTCATTTTCTTTCTGTATGTTTTCCACTTTCTTACTCTTTTTTTTTTTGCCTCGCTGCATATCTGATTAAACCATGGGCTCACTTTGACTTTGCTGTTTCTAGAATACCTAACTATATTTTCCAGTTACGTATTTCATCATTCTCATCCAATGACATGCCTCCAGTTCACTGTCTCAATCTACAACATTTACGAAGTATTTTTAATCTCTCAAAATTTTACCTTCTAAAGTTTGGCTTTTCCGCCTAATCTATTTCCCTCTACCTTTACCTTCATTAGGTACTCGAAATTCAGGACTACATGATAGCTAGTGCCCAGAGGCTCTCATGTTCCATTTCGCCTATATCAAACATACCTGTAGTAAACATTAAGTTCAGTCTTGCTGGCTCTTCATCTCAAAAAGTTTTCTCTAACCATCTTCATCAGCTTAGCCCTTCACGTTTCCGGTCCCCCACGTGGGCTTCAGACAAAGGCGGACCTACATTTCTGGAGTCCTGAAGCTTGAGCTGTTATGGAAGTCCCTTCGCAACCAGCAGTGGCTAGCCTGCATAATACTTTAATAACCTTTTAATTTTTATTTTAACTATTATTTTGTATCAACTTACACTATATTATTATTATTATTATTATTATTATTATTATTATTATTATTATTATTATTATTATTATTATTATTATTATTATTATTAAAAAAAGACCTCCTAGAGTAGACCCAAAATTTTTAAGCAATGTGGACTAAAGTCGCTTCTGGGGCCCCTCCGGGATTAGGGGCCCTGAAACTGAGGTTTCGTTAATTCCATAGCTTATCCGCCCCTGGCCTCAGATCTCCCAATGGTAGAAATTTCCCATTATAAATAGCTTCGCTTTAGCCCTAAATGCACTCCTGGCTGCTCCTGTTATAATGTCAACCGTCGCTCGAATGTTGTTCTAATACTCTTAATCTTAACTGATCATACTATGAAATCGCTTTCCTCTAGTCTGTTTATTCTTCTCACCTCTTCAAAATTCTATGTGTCTGTGTACTCACCTATATATGGTTGCAGGGGTCGATTTATAGTTCCTGGTCCCGCCTCTTCGCTGGTCGCTACTTCGTCCACTCTGTCCTGGTTTCTCCTATGTGCGTGTCTGCATTTTATGACGTGTACACATACACATGTATACATGTGCACGTAATCATGTATCCACACATACGCAGGTACGATAAGGTTCCTGAAGCCAGGAGTGGACCCAGTAGAGACCAACAAAAAGGTGGGTCCAGGAACTTCTTCGCTGGGTCTAAGAACTATGACTCGGCCCTTGCAGCCACATATAGGTGGGTGTACACACACACACACACACACACACACACACACACACACATACACACACGGGTGGACTGCATATTCTTGGACTGCAAGAAGGCGTTTGACACAGTTCCACACAAGAGATTAGTGCAAAAACTGGAGGACCAAGCAGGGATAACAGGGAAGGCACTACAATGGATCAGGGAAAACTTGTCAGGAAGACAGCAGCGAGTCATGGTATGTGGCGAGGTGTCAGAGTGGGCACCTGTGACCAGCGGGGTCCCACAGGGGTCAGTCCTAGGACCAGTGCTGTTTCTGGTATTTGTGAATGACATGATGGAAGCAATAGACTCCGAGGTGTCACTGTTTGCAGATGACGTGAAGTTGATGAGAAGAATTCACTCGATCGAAGACCAGGCAGAACTACAAAGGGATCTGGACAGGCTGCAGACCTGGTCCAGCAATTGGCTCCTGGAGTTCAATCCCACCAAGTGCAAAGTCATGAAAATTGGGGAAGGGTAAAGAAGACCGCAGACGGAGGCCAGACGGGGGCCAGAGACTACAAACCTCACTCAAGGAAAAAGATCTTGGGGTGAGTATAACACCAGGCACATCTCCTGAAGCGCACATCAACCAAATAACGGCTGCAGCATATGGGCGCCTAGCAAATCTCAGAACAGCATTCCGACATCTTAATAAGGAATCGTTCAGGACCCTGTACACCGTGTACGTTAGGCCCACATTGGAGTATGCGGCACCAGTTTGGAACCCACACCTAGCCAAGCACGTAAAGAAACTAGAGAAAGTGAAAAGGTTTGCAACAATACTAGTCCCAGAGCTAAGAGGTATGTCCTAAGAGGAGAGGTTAAGGGAAATCAACCTGACGACACTGGAGGACAGGAGAGATAGAGGGGACATGATAACGACATACAAAATACTGAGAGGAATTGGCAAGGTGGACAAAGACAGGATGTTCCAGAGATTGGACACAGTAACAAGGGGACACAGTTGGAAGTTGAAGACACAGATGAATCACAGGGATGTTAGGAAGTATTTCTTCAGCCACAGAGTAGTCAGGAAGTGGAATAGTTTGGGAAGCGATGTAGTGGAGGCAGGATCCATACATAGCTTTAAGCAGAGGTATGATAAAGCTCACGGTTCAGGGAGAGTGACCTAGTAGCGACCAGTGAAGAGGCGGGGCCAGGAGCTCGGACTCGACCCCTGCAACCACAACTAGATGAGTACACACACACACACACACAGTGAAGAGGCGGGGCCAGGAGCTGAGTCTCGACCCCCTGCAACCACAATTAGGTGAGTACACATACATCTACACATGCATATATACAAAAAATAATGTAAATACACAATTATACATATGCATGCATACGCAAATATATACACACATGTATACATATGAAAGTGCACATACATACATACATAAATTCATACACAAACATTCACACACGTATGCACATTTTTATATCTTTCTGCATTGAAATTTTAATACCACCTTCTACTATTCCTACTGAGTGCACTGGGATAGAGGTTAAACTTATAAGAAGCGGAGATGAATGATAAATGACAACGCAGCGACCGAAGTGCACCTATTCCTTTTCAGATTCTAATATTTAGAGACTACCTCTCCATCAGTCCTCTTCTCCATGAGTAGCCAGTACTTGGGTCCGGACCTGTACTCTAAGAGATAGTGAACCACCTTGCCGGAGATGTCAAGGCTGCGGTTATATAGGTATTTGTCGAAAGGCGAGGCGCTGTACCAGCCAGTGGCGGGCGCCTTGTACTGCAGATAGACCTGATTGCTGCCCCAGCATCCGCACCGCGACACCGGCGACGACGTCGATGACGGTGACACCGGCGACGGCGACACTGGCGATGACGTCGATGAGGGCGACGACGAATCTGAGGGTGATGCAAACTCGCCACCTGCAGGTACAGTGATATATTATTATGACTGCGTTCCTTTATTAATTAGGGAAGTCCGTTAGCAGTATCACACAGGGAAACTTACTGGGCAATGTGACACAGGTATGGTAAGACTGTGGACAGTGGAGTCAGAGTGCACATGCTGTGGATTCCATGTCACATTGGTCTTCAGATGCATGATAGAACTGATGAATTGGCTAAGTTGTATGCTTTCAAAGAGGGGGTAGATTACAATCTTGGCTTGTCAGTTAGCAGTTTGAGAATAATAATACGAAAAGAACTTCAACTGAATTTTATTGACTTAAGACTCTCAGGGAGATTGACACCAGTCAGTTCATATTATTCTATCATGCAGAAGAAGCCACATGTCTATGATGCTTCCAACAAAATAAGCAGACTCTTGGATGTCACTACTGCCTGCCTCCGGCTGGGTTACAAGTATCTGTGGGAGGTTAATCAAAACCACCAGATGTAGACCAAACGAAATGTAAATTTTGCCAAAAGGACTGTTGTCACACCTTGCATTATATGTACTAGAGTGGGATAAAATGAATGAATTCAGAGTCAACTCACTCAGAAATGTTCAAGAAATGTCAAAGTACTTTATCCACAGTGGTATATTACAAACCATTCTGGAAAAATACCCTGACTTTGCTCACTATAAATAAAGCATTATCACATGATGGATAATGAAAACCTTCAAAAACCAAAGATACCAAGCCCATTGTGGAAAATTTTTAATTTTCCGAAACTATAGTGCCTAATAGGTGTTTAATGTGTCGATATGAGTCAAAAATATATTTGACAATAGGATAGAACCAAGAGTTCCCTTTGCGCATGCGCGGATGTGCGGGGGGAGAGGTCGACTCGGGCCATGGGGAGGCGGGAGTGTTTTGAATGTAGTGAGGAGGCTGGGAAAGCATGGAACCAGGAAATTGGCGTTCACGGCGGCCTAAGGATTAATATGGGCCTCACTTCATAATAGGAAGTGTCGTAACTGTTCCTGGTGAAGTGTGAGGGAACGTGATTTACGGGACCACCGTAAAAAGGTGGTAAAATTAGTGAATAATGGTTCGACCGGGTGTGACTGGTGCGCGGCCATGGTGTGTGTCCAGGGGAAATACCCGTGTGTTAATCCTCACTCATCGGCCTCAGATCTTAATGGAGTGACCTCTAATGTGTATAATAATTATGAGATGTTAAATCGTCTTGTGAATGGTAATGTAATCAGTGATAATAACATTGAGTTAAGAGAATGCGGGATGTGAAATAGATCGCCCTGCTCCGAGTGAACGCGTGATTCTCGTACCGAGGATAGTGAAGCTTTATGGAATCACGACTTCTAAACCGGGACAAACCAACGGATACCTCGTCCTGCTGGAATAAGAACTGTGTCGGTGTAGCAGGACATCGAAATGAGATGGTGAATGGAGGGAATAAGGAGTATCAATCACCCACAGTTAAGTAACCCTTCTAGTTATAGCAGACTGATACTGACCAGTTAGGTATGTTGTAATTGGATAGGTTATGAGTGATCCAGCTACATCAAGTGACCACCAGAGAATATCTGGTAAGTGGTGAGATTATGTACAAGTGTTTTCCTTGATGGATATATCCATGTGTAACCTACCCCACCCCCCTTCATTCAGTTAAACTAATATAATCTATACAGTCCACAATTAATTAGTAGCACCGTACTTGTGGATGCTATCCAATCCATACTGGTCTCGGATAGATATGGATAAGATTGTGAGGTCGAAGGAACCACTTGCCGTGACCAGGGGTGGTTAAGTTTTCTCACATGTCTACACGGGGTGACTACGGTAAACAATATGGTTGTCTCCCAATGAGTTTACTTATATGTATATAATGTTGAGGTACATAAAGGTAATCACCCTAGAAAATTTTCCACACCCATGATGGCACTCTTCAGGTCGCTTGTTCTATGTAGGCTGGATATTGCTGCACCTTTCAAGGCAGGTGAAATTGCTGACCTAGAAAATGTACAGAGAACCTTCATCTCACGCATAACTGTGATAAAGCACCTCAGTTACTGGGAACACTTGAAGTTCCTAAACCTGTACTCCCTAGAATGCAGGGGGGAGAGATACATGATTATTTACACTTGGAAAATCCTAGAGGGACTAGTTCCGAACTTGCACACTAAAAACACTCGCCAGGTAGATCAGACCCTGATCCACCATGAGGCCTGGTCTCATACTGGGCCGCAGGGGCGTTGACCCCCGAAACTCTCTCCAGGTAAACTCCTACGAAAGCAAAAGACTCGGCAGACGGTGCAACATCCCCCCAATGAAAAGTAAGGGTGTCACTAGCACGATAAGAGACCACACAGTAAGTGTCAGGGGCCCAAGACTGTTCAACTGCCTCCCAGCATACATCAGGGGGATTACCAATAGACCCCTGGCTGTCTTCAAGCAGGCACTGGACAGGCACCTCAAGCTAGTAGCTGACCAGCCGGGCTGTGGTTCGTACGCTGGATTACGTGCAGCCAGCAGTAACAGCCTGGTTGATCAGGCCCTGATCCACCATGAGGCCTGGTCACAGACCAGGCCGCGGGGGAGTTGATCCTCGGAACTCTCTCCAGGTATACTCCAGTTAGGACATTCCCCATAGCTCTGGAACTATCCTTGTTGTAAACCCTTGCACTTTCTCTAATTTCTTGACATGCTTAACCAGGTGTGGGTTCCAAACTGGTGCTGCATACTCCAGTATGGGCCTGACGTACACGATGTACAGTGTCTTGAACGATTCCTTACTGAGGTATCGGAACTCTATTCTCAAGTTTGCCAGGCACCCATATGCTTCAGCAGTTATCTGGTTGATGTGTGCTTCTGGAGATGTGCTTGGTGTTATACTCACCCCAAGATCTTTCTCCTTGAGTGAGGTTTGCAGTCTTTGGCCACCGAGCCTATACTCTGTCTGTGGTCTTCTTTACCCTTCCCCAATCTTCATGACTTTGCATTTGGTGGGGTTAAACTTGAGGATCCAGTTGCTGGACCACACGTCTAGCCTGTCCAAGTCTCTTCATAGTCCTGCCTGATCCCCATCTGATTTAATTCTCCTCATTAACTTCACATCATCTGTGAACAGGGACACTTCTGAGTCTATCTCTTCCATCATGTCATTCACATTTACCAAAAATAGCACTGGTCCTTGGACTGACCCCTGTGGGTTCCGCTCGTCACAGGCGCCTGCTCCCACTGTGATACCTCATCACGTACCATGACTCGTTGTTGCCTCCCTGTCAGGTATTCTTTGATCCATTTCAGTGCCCTTCATGTTACACATGCCTGATCCTCTAGCATCTGCACTAATCTCTTGTGAGGAACTGTGTCAAAGGCCTTCTTGCAGTCCAAGAAAATGCAATCAACCCACCCCTCTCTCTCGTGTCTTACTTCTGTTACCTTGTCAGAAGGTTTGTGACACAAGATTTGCCCTCCATGAATCCATGATGGTTGTCGTTTATAATCTTGTTCCGTTCCAGGTGCTCTAACACTCTCCTCCTGATAATCTTCTCCATGACTTTGCATACCATACACGTCAGTGACACTTGTCTATAGTTTAGTGCCTCGTTTCTGTCTCTCTTTCCATCTTCCATGCCTCAGGTAGTTGTCCAGTTTCAAGGGATGTGTTGAAAATTGTGGTCAGTGGCACACACAGCATCTCTGCTCCCTCTCTAAGGACCCACGGGGAGATGTTGTTCGGTCCCACTGCCTTTGTGGTATCAAGGTCACTTAGCAGCTTGTTCACCTCCTCCTAAGTTGTGTGCATTTCACTCAACACTTGTTGGTATATCCCTTGTTGGTGTCCCCCTCTATTTTGTCTTACCATAGTCCTTCCTGTCTCCAACCACTGTAAATATTTCCTTAAATCTTGTGTTGAGCTCCTCACATACCTCTTGATCATTTCTTGTGAGCTCCCAACCTTCTTTTCTCAGCCTGATTACCTGGTCTTTGATCATTGTCTTCCTCCTAATGTGGCTGTACAGCAGTTTTGGGTCAGACTTGACTTTCGATGCTATGTTGTTTTCGTACTGTCACTGGGCCTCCCTCCTTATCTGTGCATTCTCTTTTCTGGCTCTTCAACTAATCTCCTTATATTCCTGGATCCTTTGCCTTCTCCACTTTTTCCATTCTCTAGTACACTTAATTTTTGCCTCCCTACACCTTTGGGTAAACCAAGGGCTCCTTCTGGTCTTCCCATTATTTCTGATGCCCTTAGGGACAAACCTTTCCTCTGCCTCCCTGCATTTTGTTGTTACATAGTCGATCATTTCGTTGGACCCCCGGTTATTGGCCGGTTTTGTTATCGGCCAACTCGGTTATCGGGTTATCGGCTATTTGCTCGGTTATCGACGGTTTTGGACGTGTCCATCCGCCGGCTGGGGCAGCTTGCGCTTCAGTTTGGCTTTGTCTCTCGGTGGCTGTGGAGGCTTCTGTTCATACATCCAAACATTTTACTTGTTTACCATTGTTTTTAGTGGTTTTTCTTGCAGTGCAGCTGTGAAATAAGTAACCATGGCTCCAAAGAAAGTTCCTAGTAAAGTTAAAGTTCCTGTGGCAAAGAAAGTGAGAAACACCATGGAATTTAAGCGTGAAGTGATCAAAAAGTTTGAGAGTGGTATGAAGGTGATGGAACTTGCCAGGATGTACAGCAAGAATAAATCAACAAGCCTATGAAAAACAGGCTTACTCTTTTGTTGTGTGGTAATGCTAGTGGGGATTTCAAACTGAAGCCTTTACTTGTGTATCACTCAGAAGATCCCAGAGTGTTTAAGAAAAACAATGTCATGAAGAATAGATTGTGTGTGATGTGGAAAGCTAATCATAAGGCATGGGTCACAAGGCAAATTTTCAAAGAGTGGGTTAATGATGTGTTTGGCCCAAGTGTGAAAAAATACCTCCTGGAAAAGAAATTGCCACTCAAGTGCCTCCTGTTACTGGATAATGCTCCTGCACATCCTCCAGACTTGGAAGACC